GCAGATCGCGGGTGGCTTTCTGCGGTTTTGAAGCAAGGTACGTCGGTCACCATTGATGCCGTTGCCCCCAGCCGATCTCCAGGCTTTCCTCAAGCGAGGGATTGAGGTCTGGTTGGACGGCACAGCGGATGAGTGCACGGAAGTGCTTCTTAAAGTGGCGATGAAGGCGAAGCTCCAGTTCGAACGTGAACAATCCAGTGCTTGGAAGACTTGGGCTGGCCAGTCTCTGGGAAAGGGTGCTAGTATGGCTCATCGTTTTACTCGCGCGCGCGTGCTGCAGGAGGTGCTGGACCAAACCACTTTGGGGAGCCCAGGCCAGTTAGTCGACAGAGAGTTGTGCAAATGGAAAGGTATTTTGAGCAAGCATGGGCTTACGCAGCTCCACGGGCCCTCGGATTTCCACGCGTGGGGCCAGCTACCCGCGATGTCGGTGGATTTCCTACGTCCGAGTTTAGGGGGGCCACGGCGGCAGGGCAGATGGGTATATCGCCGCGGGCTCTATAGCATGTGTCAGGTGTTGGGTTATTCGTCTTGTCGGGGCGTTTTAGCAGATGCGAGTCTTTGGGGTGTTGGCCAGACATATATATACACATATATATACACAAGATTTGAAGCTCGCTGCGCTTCTCTTGGAGGTCTTGGCACGATGCGCTGGCGTGCAGTGCGCGAGTGAAGTGCGACTATGCGGGCTGAAGCTTCGGCGATTGGCAGGGGCAGGGATGGGAAGGTCACGGGCGCATGGGCGTCGGCCCATGGAACGCGCGCGCCGCGCGCGCGCCGAGTTGGCAAGGGGCGGCGCGCGCGACGGTCATCGGCGATGAGATTAGGCGGGGATGCAACGCCGAGGGCAGGGGAAGGGAGAGGTGTGGTAAACGCGTGGCATTCGGGACAACTTCAAGATTCGGGGGCCCTATTAGGGAAGACGGAGGGGTCGGAATCCTTCTTGGCGGGTGCGACACAGGGGGTCGGGAAGGTCAGGGGCAGCGCCTGTAGACAGGGTGTTCAACATGGCGGTGACCACGGTGATGATGACGTGGTCGTGGCGACGACGGAAGTGGCTTGCGCAGGGGGCGGGAGGGGCAGGGGCTCGCCAGCCTGGTTCGAAGGGGCGGCCCGAAACCGGACCCCCCCCTCAGCCCGACTTGGCCTGACTCTCGGCGTCTTGACTGTGCGCTCGGATCTGCAGTGCCAGCGAAGCGGTCTGGACGGCTGCTTGCCCGCGCGCTTCCTTCCCTGTCCGTCTGCGCGCGTGGCCGCTGTTTCATCGGCCTGCGCGCGCGTGGCTTGCATTGCCGTGCCCTCCCGTCTTGCTGCAATGAGAAAATATTTACACTGCCCCATGCCTGCAGTCCGCGGAGCACCTGGTCGGGTCCAGGTGTTTCGAAGCACATCAATGATTTGAGTCTCGTGGGGCCCTCTTCGGAAGCCTCTCGGAGGCCTCTTGGGCGGTATTTGGGGCCTTTTGGACCGTCGTTAAGTCATGATGAGCGTCTTGGGCAGATTATTCTGCGATTTCGGGCCCTTTGGACCGTCTTGGGAAGCCCAACTGGCGGGCCAGAGAACACCCAAGGGACGCCCGGGGCCCCCGGGGACTGGCCAGAGAGAGCCCCGCGGGCCCCTGGGGCCGCCAGATTCTATGGGGGGGGGGCGCCCATCCCCGGGGATCTCCTGATGCGAGATAATACAGGTAAGAATATGTGTGTATGTGTACCTGCCCAAAGGAGGAGTATCTCGATTGATTGCACCCGTCAACTCGTTGGTCAGGCTGTGGGCACGGGCGCGCGGTATCAAATCCGAGCAGCGGGTCGTCGGTACCGAGATGAGCGAAATCTGGGGCGCGGGCGGTGCTGGGCGGAGCTCGACAGCCGCTGCATGTGAACGCAATCCGCGTGCGGAGGCGGCGGCGCTGCTTGGGCGGCACACGGCCACGACGGCCGTCGACGCTTGGAAGTGCTACGAATCGACCAGCCCTGGCGAGGTGCTCAAGGAAGCCCGACATCATGGATTTCCGCTGCGGCTGGTGTGGAGGGTGCTCGAGTACCACCGGCAGCCACGAGTGCCGCAGGCTTGTGCCTCACACTCGGAGCCCTTCGTCTCATGGCAAGGGCCCCATCGCAGGCTGTTCCCACTCCACCTCTCTCCTCACCCTCCTCACGCTGCGCGCTGTGCGCATGGTTTGGCTCTGCGGGGTCGTGCCAATAGCCTTGGTAGACGGCCTTGCGGCATAGCGGGTGGGGGAGCGGTTGGACGGGGTTGGGGGCGTGAAGAACCTGTGGTATGCCCTGGCCAATTTTAAGGCAGATGCGATGCAGTTGGGTGTTGTGCTGCAGGACTCAGCGTCGGGCAAGTCAGGATGCGTCGCTGGCAGCCGCGCGGCCCATCAAGCTTCGCGCCGTTGGGCGGGGGCGGCTAGACTCGAGGTGAAACGCAACATGCGCAACCTAGAACATGAGCTGTCGGGGCGAGATCGGAGGATACCGATCACCAGAGCTCGACTTGCTAAGCTCAGGATCCGACTGCGTAGGACATACCCACTGCGTAAGGCGGTTGAGAACAAGGTTTCGAGGCTCTGGAGGACTGGTTTGCTACCTGGGGCTAGCCGTTGCGGTGCGGTGTCGGGCGCCGCTGACACCGAGCTCCGCAGGCTCCGAGCTGCTGCGGGGGCTCTCGTGGGTGCCAAGGGTCGGGGGGGGGGGGGGGCCATTGCGGTCTACCTGGCGACGCAGTCCGACCCTTGGAACACTATGCCCATGTGGACGCAGACTTTTTCGCTCGGAGTGCTTGAGAGGGCTTGGAGGGCCTTAGCAGACAAGCAAGCAGAGACGTTCACCTGGAGGCATGCGTCGGGACCCATGGCGGTCGCATGCCTGTCTCTGATGAGCGTCGATTGGACGAAGGAGTCTCCGCTTCTGGTTCGCTCTGACCTGGGGGAGGTTTTCTCGTTACTGCATATCGACCCTCATCATATGATGCAGCTGCTACGAGCGGGCATTCAGAGGTGGCAGATGCGTAGGATCCAAGCCCATTTTCCTGATTTCCCTGGCGGTTGCGAGGTGTGGCCCCGCGGGATCCGAGCTTCGGTTGGGCCCAAAGGGGCCGCGCTCAGGACGGCGAAGTCAGCGAGGATAGTCAGATCCCTGTGGGCCAATTCTTGGTGACTGAAAGACAGATTGCACGCGGCTGGGTACGTGCCCGGCCCAAATTGTAGAGGGTGCGGTGCCCAATGTGAGTCCATCGGCCACCTCCTCCTTGAGTGTCCTGCGCTGCGGGAGACGCTTCTGGACGGGGAGGAGGAAGTGCCGATCCCTGAGGCTCAGGTTAAACTTCGTGAGGGTTTTTGGGCCAAGGGCCCGATTGGGCGTCGTGGGATTTCGGGCCCGCATAGTTTTGAACTCTCGGTGGGCATGCCTGTTCTTCCAAGCCCCCGCGTGCCGCCGTCCGGAGACCCGCCTTGTCTCTGGCGGGGCGACTGGACCCCCCCCAGCCCAGCGGGACAACGTCGTTTTCACGGACGGCTCGGGGAGGTTGTCCAACCGGCCTGAAATTCGGAGCTGCGGGTGGGCTTTCGTCCAGATGTCCGACGCGGGGCTCCCGTTGCGCGCCTGCTGTGGGCGGCTCGCGGGGCCAAGCCAGACAGTTGGCGAAGCCGAGAGAGTGGCGATGCTGCGTGCCTTGCAGAATCTGCCGTCTGTGGATGCTGTTGTCGCGGACCTCCGTGGGCCAGCCCGCGAAGCTCTCGAATGGAGTTCAGTCGCCGCTGGCTCAGCAGGCAAGCACGCAACGGTGTGGAGGCAGGTCCATGCCGTGGTCGAATCCGGGGGGGGGGGCCGCCCTGCGGTGCACTGGGGCCCCTCCCACGGGGACCTCGGAGATGCCGCGCGCCTCGGGCCCGAGCAGGGCCCCTCGTTTGGCTGTGTCCTCGGGGATGCCGGGGCCGACTTTCTTTGCGAAACTGGGGGCCTCGGCCGATGCGGTCGGACGCGGGACTGTCGACTTGTGCAGGCTGGCATTGAAGGAACCCCAGGAGGTCTCTGAGTATCTGGCCTGGGCTGGGGGGCGTCTCATGGAGCTGGGGCCTTGTTCGTCGGAGTCGCCGTCTGAGGGGGCCAGAGCGAGAGCCCCCAAGCCCGAGCTGTGTGCGCCTGCTGCTTCGATCGTGGGACCTGGAGGTCACCACCTCTGGCATAGCAGGACCAGGGGCGAGTGGAGATGTCGCGAGTGCGGCACGTTCACCAGAACCGAGGCTGGCCTCCGCTCGCTGGCCGCTGCCGCTGCACGCTGCCGTCCATCGCCGTTCGACCTTTGGAAAGCGAATCGCGTGTGTGGTCGGGGTCCCCATGATTGGGAGTTGGTCGTGTCCGAGGGGGCTCGTGCGGCGCTCGAGGCTGCCGACAGGCTCCTTGAGGAAGCCGCCCTGGATCCCGAGGGCACGGCGGTGGCCCCTGGGGGGCCCGTCGGAGGGGTCTGAGTGGGGGCTGTCGGCTCGGCTTCGGGTGAGGGGTCGGCGACAGCGCCCGACGGGCTGGCCGCTGGGCCGTCGGGCCGTCGGGCGGCGGGGCTCCGGGGTCTTCCCTGGGGGCTCCGGTGTCGGCGTCTCGGGGTCGGGACCCCGCGGCCCGGGCCCTCGACCTTGGCCATCGGATGGCCGAGGTCAATGGCGTGGCATTCTGTGAACGCTGTGCCTGCCACGTCGGGGAGTCGGGTAAAGTGGTGGCCCTCAAGCGGCCCTGCAAGGGCCCCTCGGACCACCCCCCGACCTTGGCGGTGCAGAAGCACCGTATCAGAAGGATGAGGGAGGGCAAGCCACCGCGATAGTGGTTGCTTGTCAGCCGCTCCCTGTCCATTTCTTTCCTTCTGGCGTTTGCGTTCGGGCAACTTGGACGCACTCCTGCTTGTCTCTCTTTCCTCCACCTCCCATATGTTCCCAAATCTTCTGGGGTATCGACGATTCATTGTGTCTGTGTGTTTTTTGTCCCCCTCCTGAAGAATGGGCCCAAACACCGACGGCATCTGCTGTTCATGTGCGCAGGACTCGCTGCCGGCGTCGCCGCGGGCACTGCCCACTTGGAGACAGAAGGCCGCCTCTTGAACAGCGGGCGCCGCCAGCTTGGGGCCACATGTGCTGCTGGGCCTCGAACCAGTTCCTCGCACCCGCTCCGGGCGTCGACAAAGCGCGGGCGGGGGGGGCAGAAGAGAGGACCGCTCAGACGGCCGGCTTCTGGTCGAGCGCCTCCGCTCGCTCCACCAAGAGGGGGGGAAAGGTGGGAGGCGCAGGGGCGAGGGGGCAGGGAGGAGGGAGCGGGAGGAGAGTCGGCACGAATCGGGGGCACGCAAACATGGATTAGTGATCCATGGATCTGGCGCGCGGTCGCCAAATCCATGGATCCGCCTTGCTCGGCGGCGGAAGCCTGCGCTTTCCCAGGGAAGCGGGACCCGTCACTCATCCACGCCCCCTGGATCCATGTTTGCGATCGCCGGAACGAAGCAGACGGGGTCCATGGAGGCACGGGGGGACCCGCCTCGGCGGGTACCAGCCTGTCTCGCCCAGGATGTCTCGCGCCGCTCCCTGGAGAAGGATGACCCAGCGGCCCTGGCAGCGACGCAAGAAGCACAGCCATCTCCGCGCCGCCGGAGTGCAGGCCATCTTCGCGCCTTCGCGCTGCACTCTCGGAGGAGGGCGGCTCGCTGGCCCAAGCCTCGACCTTCTCCTGAGATCCGTCACTCATCCACGCCCCCTGGATCCATGTTTGCCATCGCCGGAACGAAGCAGGGGGGGAGGCATGGGGTCCAGGGAGGCACGGGAGGCACGGGAGGAGGAGGAGGAGGGAGGAGGGAGGAGGAGCAGGGAGGCACGGCGGCCTCGCTCCCTTGGTCCATGGAGGCACGGGAGGCACGGGAGGAGGAGGAGGAGGGAGGCGGAGGAGGAGCAGGGAGGCACGGCGGCCTCGCTCCCGTGGGGTCCATGGAGGCACGGGGGGCCTCCGTGGATGTCTCGCCCAGCCTCGGACCCTCCCAGGCCCACCGCAGGCACCGGGGGCCCAGGGCCCGCCTCCGCCAGGGTCCGCGTCCCTCGCGCGCGCTCTGGAGGTAAGAGGGTGCTGGGCCTGTGTTCCACCACCACCACCATCAGTTGGAGGGGGAGGGGGTCCTCCTCCTCCTCCTCCTCCTCCTCCTCCTGCGGCACTGCGGGCAAAGCGGTTCTTGTCCGCCGCAGCCCGCGCCGCGCGCGCGCCCGATCGCGCGGCGCGACGCACGACCCCCTGCCTCTGAGATCCTCTGGAGGGGCCTCAGGAGGGGGCCTCAAAACGCCTCTGGAAACCTGGCCCGCAGACGGGGGAGAGAGGAGCCACAGGGCCTGGGAGGGACCTCAAGGGCCTAGGAGGAGAGGAAAGCGGAGCCAGGGTCCAGGCGCTGGGGCGGGCCTAGGTTTGTACTGGGCCCGCCACCCCCCGACCACCACCTCCATAGTGGAGTACGTACTCCTCCTCGCTCGAAAGACGCGGAGGTGGTGGTAGTGGGGGGGCAAATGTATTGTAGGGTTGTGGGCCCCCACCCCTCAACAGGAGAGAAACAAAGCCTGCATGGGCGCGAGAAAGGAACGGAGGGGGGGCCCACAACCTACTAGGGGGGGGGGGGGGCGCCCCGCGGGCCCAGGTGTCAGAGGATGAAGGTGGTCTCTTCCCCTCTCGCGGCCGCCAGCGCCCCCAGGTCCGTTCCTGGGGGCCGGCACGCTCACCGCGAGGGGGTGGTCACCAACCTGTACTCCGCGGGGTGGTGCTCGCCGTGGTTGTCGTTCGGGGGGCCGCAGAAGTCGCCCATGTGTCCGCCGTATCGGTCGTCCTCCTCGAGGGGGCGTTCACCTCGGGGTTGGCCTCGTTCGCATGCGTACTCGGCGCCATCGCGTGGTGGTTGCCCCCGTTGCTCTTCTTGTGCCCCTGTTACGGGCATGTCGTTTTCCGTTGTCTGACGACGTGTGGTGTGGTCGGTCGTGCGTTCTGACGTGGTTGATGAAGCGAGGCAGTTCGAGGCTTGTGGCGACGAGTATCCAGGTCGCGGCTCGAGGAGCACCGCGCCTGGACGTTCTGACATCCAGCAGTCGGGTCCTGGCTGTTGTGGATGACGATGCAGTCGAGCATGCCACATATCGTCGGTGCTGGGTCGGCGTTCGGTGCTGATGTGGTCGCCGTTGCCATCATGTCCATCATAGTGCCACGTCTGTGCCTTTGTGTATGCGTCGGCGGTGGGCTGGAGTGTTTGCTCTATGGCCTGCGTCAGTGTCATTGTCGTGGTGATGTCTGCAGGGCAGTTGCAAGCAGTGAATGCTGTGGTCAGGGTTGTGCTGCACGTCGTTGTGATGTATGCGTATTCCTGTAGCAGCAGGTGTCGGAGGCTGCTGTCCAAGATGATGGTAGGTGTGCGCGTCATCATCATCCGCTGTGCGGTCCGTAAGACGTGCCGCATGCTGTCGTTGTCTTGTCGTACCGCTCTGTGCTGCGTGGGTGTGAGATCCAGTCGTCCCCAAGGTGCCTCTTGCGTCCTGAGGTTGAGGTCGCGGTCGAAGGTCGTGAGGTCGGCGTCGATGATGCAGAAGGCAGCGTGGTCGTATGGTGTCGTGGCCATGTCGGAAGCCGTTGGGTCAGGTTGGGGTGGGTGCATGGTTGGCAGGTGGTGGAGTTCGATGGAGATGCTGTGTCTGTCTGCGGTGGCTTGGAGGGCGTCGGTCACCGCGCTGGTGTGGTCGTGGTTGGCGGTGAAGAGCAGTACGATGCTGGGCTTTCCTGTGATGTCGGTCATCCCCGTGTCTGCTCGGTTGGGTCCGCTGTCTTGTGTGGTGGGTGCGTCGGTGGGTATTTGGGCTGGTATTGGTCGGTGGTCGTGGTCGGCGTGGGTTGGTGGTCCCAGTGCTGGCCCATGTAGCTGGATGGGTGGCCGCTCGGCGTAGTCTTCTGGAAGCCCAGCGTGTCGGTTGGATCGTCGTACGCGTCGGGTCTCCTCCTTGTGCGCGTCGATGTCTTCTGTTGGCGGCTTCGCTCCGAACTGCATCAGTGTGGCTGCACACTGGTGTGACGACTTGACGTGTTTGGTAAGTCTGTTCGCGGTGTAGAAGTACTTCAAGCATACCTGGCAGGTGTCGCCGACGATGTAGTTGTCTATGGTGTGCTTGTCCTGGTGGACGGCGTAGACATGCTTGTTGTGTGCTGCTTTGGTCTTGAATGTAGCACCGCAATGGTAACACATAACTCTGGCTGGTGCTGGTGTCGTGGTTCCTGCTTGTCGGGGTAGTGGCGGCACTCCCAGTGCTGTTGCCGTTAGCGATAGGTCTGCCCGCAGCTGGTCCTGCGCTGCTCGGTCGGAGGATGAGTCTTGTGCGCGCTTGTAGGTGCTCGTAATAAAAGACTTGACCGTGTGCATGTCGTTGCGTGCAGCCTTGATGAAGTCGATGATGTCCTTGGGTGCGGTGGTGATGCGGGTGCCGTCGCAGTGCTGTCGGCATGTGTGGATGTCGTTGTTGATGGTTTGCGTCCAGGTGCCGTTGGCTTCGATGTCGTAGTCAATGAGTGCCTGCGTTTCGTACGGGCATCCTTTTATGAGTCGCAAAAGTTCTCGCAGTCGTAGCCATCGTAGTCGGTCTTCGAGGTTCGGTAGTTGAGCACGTGCCAGTATCTGCTCGTTGGTGATGTGCTTGTCCTTCATGGCCTTGTGCGTAATTCCTATTGCCTGTCGAGCCGCAGTGACGTAGGCTGTGTTGATCCTGTGGTAGTCCCGCGCTGTTGTGATGAGCCATGTCCCCGCGTTAAATAGCAGTCTTGAATAGCCGAATGACTCGAGGTAGTGGATCTTAGTCTGGATGGAGATGGCTTGTCGTTGGAACAAGGTGCGTCGGAGTGGGCCTGTTGTCTCGCGTAGCGCGATGGTGCGTGCTGCCGTCTCCTGGCCCATGTCGTTCCTGTCGTTGAACATCGCGCCCAGCAGCTTGGTGCTTCTAGCGATGGTGACGCAGAGCCCCATGTCGGTGATGCTGTGGTTGTCCCGTATCATGGTCCGTGTAGCTCTTTTGCCTGCGACGGTGTTGGGGTAGACGATGAAGCTGGACTTCTTGGTGTTGATCGGGAGGCCTCTTCGCAGTGTCGCGCGTATGAGATGTCCCCACATCTTGGTGATGAGTGCATGGATCATGGTGCCGTCTGCCGTGGATGCAGCCGCCTTGACGTCGTCTACGAAGGATGTAGAGGACAGTGTGGCGTTGTGGTCGCAAGCTCGGAGGCGTGGTGGGGCATGCGGTATGTCGAAAGTCGCTCCATCCTCGACGGCGTGGTCGTGGTAGTCTCGCGTGACGTCCGCCATGAGCATGTTGAATGTGAAGTCGGCTGTTGGTACGCCAGGGCGTGTACCAAGTCGTGGTGCTGCGTAGCTGCACTGGTCGTCGATATAGAACCAAGTCCCAGTGTGTGCCTCTGTGAGCATGTCGACAATGTGTTGGTTGTCCACGTGTTGGTTGACAATGCCGTTGTCGGTCATGAGGGCCTCAATCGCGGGGAGCATGACATGGGGGATGTCGATGTGGGCGAGAAGGTCGTCCAGCTGCTCCTTGGTCTGGGTGAAGTTGTACACGAGCTGGTTGACTACCTTGTGGAAGGCTGCTTTCAAGTCTATCATGATGATGACCATGTCGTGCTTCAAGTGGTAGGCGGTGTTGGATAGGAGCCGCATCGTCATGTGGTTGATGTCCGTGCTGTAGTGGTGTCGGCCTCCCGTCTGAGTGGAGAAGAGCATCGTGGGGATGAGGTCCTTCATGCATTGTCTGATGTATCTGTAGTGGTGCTTGATGACGGAGTTGGCTAACGTGATTGACCGTTGGTTGTTCAGGTCCTCCTCGCTGCCTTTGCCCTTCCAGAAGTACGTCATCCTGGACCCCTTGAGAGCTACGCCCTCCCTGCAGAAGAGCGCCGCTTTGGTGATGATCGGATGCATGTGTCGGGCCATCTGCCGTGGGGCGATCTTGGAGAAGTCGTCGGATACACGATCTGGTCCTGGTGCGCGGTGAGGTCTCGCTTTGTGAAGGATGTCGGTGAGCTCGTAGATGCTGGCGAAGTTGTTGACGTGGCGCGTTCTCCTGGGCTGAGCTGGGTCGGTCCTGTCCTCCTTGGCGTTGTATCTGTCGACCACGTCCTGAGCGGAGAGGATGTCGGCTGCTTCGTTGTGTCCGAAGTGGCGTGTGGCTGCGTCGGC